AATATTTGTGCAGAGAAAACGCAAATCTATTACAGAAATCTTTTTGAATTGATGAACTCTTTCTTATTATAATATTATAATATTATGAACAACCTGAAACTTTAAGAAAAATGTAATTTCACACAAAGTTTTAACATTAAATTGTATGTAAAGGAATAAGTCCATTTTTGTTGTAAAATCCTGCACTCGGCTCCACTTTTCTCATGCTGGACATTTTCTGATGAGGGTGTCACGGTCAACAGTCAAAACGATCGTCCTTTAAGAGCGTTTGGAAAGAGACAAGTCTTCATTTGTGCTGCTCTGGTGGGAGGGGCCACGTACAGAGACGCTGGAGACGCTGCTGTGATAAACACCACAGGAAATTAACACCATTTTAATAGAAAATATCATTCAAATATTTGAGTAGAAAATCAGCCAAGGGCCAGATTAAAGGTCTCGGAGGGCCAGATCTAGCCCCCGGGCCGTATGTTTGACACCTGTGGTTTAGATGGTGACGGCGTTTTGTTTATATCGTGATATCGTATCGTCAAAAGTCTCACAATAATATCATGGACAGTGTCGGGAAGTTTACTTTTCAAATGTAATCCCCTACAGATTACAGATTACCCACGCCAGAATGTAGTTTGTAACAGAATCCATTAAATTACTTAAAGTGAGTAATGTAATCTGATTACTTTGGATTACTTGATTTGCTGTAGAGAAACAAAGACGAACACCTATGGTCATGAGCTCTGGGTAGTGACCGAAAGGACGAGATCGCGGATACAGCGCTCGAAATGAGTTTCCTCTGCAGGGTGTCTGGGCGTCTCCCTTAGAGACAGAGTGAGGAGCTCAGTCACACGGAGGAAGCTCGGAGTAGAGCCGCTGCTCCTCCTCGTCGAGAGGAGCCAGTTGAGGTTCGGGCATCTGTTCCGGATGCCTCCTGGACGTGTCTCGGAGGTGTTCCGGGCATGTCCCGCCGGGAGGAGGCCCCGGGGAAGACAGGACACGCTGGAGGGACTATGTCTCTCGGCTGGCCTGGGAACACCTCGGGGTCCCCCCGGAGGAGCTGGAGGACGTGTCTGGGGTAGGAAGTCTGGGAGTCCCGCTTAGGCTGCTCCCCCCGCGACCCGGCCCGGATAAGCGACGAAAATGGATGATGGATGGATGGAAACAAAGACGAGGAAATCTTCACATAAGAAGTTTTGTCTGATAAAAGAAAATAAAAGTCCAGATTTTACTGAACCAAATTAAAAATATTGATAGAAAACGAAGAAACACGTCCACACAGCAGGATTTAGTCCTGTTAAATCCTGTTTGAGACCTGGTTTAGACCTGGTTTAGTCCTGGTTTTAGTCTTGGTTTAGACCTGGTTTTAAACCTGGTTTAGACCTGGTTTAGTCCTAGTTTTAGTCCTGGTTTAGTCCTGGTTTAGTCTTGGTTTAGTCTTGGTTTAGTCTTGGTTTAGACCTGGTTTTAGTCCTGGTCTATTCCTAGTTTAGATCCAGTTTAGACCTAGTTTAGACCTGGTTTAGACCTAGTTTTAGTCCTGGTTTAGTCCCAGTTTTAGACCTGGTTTTAGACCTAGTTTATACCTAGTTTAGACCTGGTTTAGACCTAGTTTTAGACCTAGTTTTAGTCCTGGTTTAGTCCCAGTTTAGACCTAGTTTAGACCTAGTTTTAGACCTGGTTTTAGACCGGGTTTAGTCCTAGTTTAGACCTGGTTTTAGACCTGGTTTTAGACCTAGTTTAGACCTAGTTTAGACCTGGTTTAGACCTGGTTTTAGACCTAGTTTTAGTCCTGGTTTAGTCCCAGTTTAGACCTAGTTTAGACCTAGTTTTAGACCTGGTTTTAGTCCTGGTCTATTCCTAGTTTAGATCCAGTTTAGACCTAGTTTAGACCTGGTTTAGACCTAGTTTTAGTCCTGGTTTAGTCCCAGTTTAGACCTGGTTTTAGACCTGGTTTTAGACCTAGTTTATACCTAGTTTAGACCTGGTTTAGACCTAGTTTTAGACCTAGTTTTAGACCTGGTTTTAGGTTTAGTCCTAGTTTTAGACCTGGTTTAGACCTGGTTTTAGACCTGGTTTTAGGTTTTTAGTTTAGTAGTGTCCTGTTTTGGGTTTAGTGTCCAAGTGGAATTATGTTAAAAAGAGACGACCCCGGGAACAAGATGAGTTTGAGACTCGTGGTCTGGAGTTTTCTGATTCTTGACCTCGTCTTTGGAGTTAAATGAAAGTTGTTCAGGACACTGGAATAACTCACAAATGTGTTGGTGAAGTATTTGGAGCAGGACGCAGAGCTGCAGGTGACAGACCTCTGACCTGTGGAGGGTTGTGATGTCGTGTGAAGTAGTAAAAGTCAAAGTACGCGTAGTATTCGTAGTAATAATAACAATACTCTATTATGTTTAATGAGCACCTTTCAAAACGCTCGGAGCCGAGTTCATTCAGTCCGACCTGCAGCAGCGGCACCTCCCACCCCCGACTCTCACAGCACCGTCAGTCTCACACGACCGGGCTC